TTTCTTATGCATGCTTGACAAACTAGCTAACCAACTAAATAAATAAATTAAATAAATAAATAATCCAGCCTGAAGATCTAAACCACCGCTTCCTTCCCTGTGTGTTAATCCGATTACCATTCCCGAAAAGGTTATGGCACACTCACCTCCCCCAAGCCAGTTTCGATCAAACGTTCATCTTGTTCTTCTGCAAGTCCGGGTGGCTCATTGAAAGCACAGCATTATTTGCGCTGCATTTAGTTCGTCGAAACGCACCTTTTCTTTACCCCCAACTTGATTCCCAGTGAGTTAATTTCTTCCCCTTTCCTTTTTCTGTTCCTCCCACCGCAGAGCACCCCTCTCCTTTAATACACCCTCCCTTCTTCCATAAATCTAGATTACTTTAGCAAATCTCTAGTCGATACACAAAAGCGTCCGGCGTTCGTACAGGAAATGGAAGAGGCAAGTAAGGGCGGAAGTGCCTTCAAGCAGTTCTCTAAACATCAGCGAGGGTTTGCTCATGCCCGTACTTGGTGTTCGGCGTTTAAGAGTCCGGCTAGGAAACCAGAGCTGGAAGCACAAAGCAGGCGGTTGGGGAGGGAAAGAAAGAAGCAGAGAGTGGTAGGAGCCGCAGTGCTGTAACTTTCTCGAATCGTAATTCCCTCCAGTCCAGATGTATTAAAAGGGCAGTCTCCACCCTTCCCAGCAAGCGAACATATTGTGAGATGAAAGGAGTGGGAATTAGAAAGTTCCTGTGTGTTTGAATCACTTTCTAATTTTTCTGTAGGCTATTATAACCTGGCTGCAAAATGAGGTGAATAGCACACAGGAGCAAATTGATAAAGGGGAAAAAATATATTCACACCACTGCCATCTATTGGTTACCCTGGTTTTTTTTTTAAAAAAAAAAATCCTAATATGGTTGTCCTAAAGACATGGGTTTGGGATTATCTCAGTATATCTGCTTATAAATATCTGCCAAAACGAAATGTGAAAATTAGTAGTAATATAAGATGGGGGAATTCATGCTGAAGGTGCCTTCCAAACCATTGTTGTTTGAAATAGCATATTCTTGTGCGGGTGGGGGTTCAAGCAGACAAAAACACAAATCAATGTACTGTTTCCTTTTGGACAGCCAGGATTGTGTAGAACACAAAAAAGGAATAAGAAACAGTAAACCCAAGAAACTAAATGACTGAAGGGGAGGAGAAAGAGAATAGAAAATATAACTGAAGTACTTTACATCAACACAATTCACTGCATCTCTATTTTTCTATGTGGCAACCGAGAACACGTTGACCATTTTCTACACTTGCATGTCTTGAACTTTCTCATTCTTCCATTTTTCTTACCCTATTTTTACCATTCATATTAGCAGAGATATATTCCATTCTATACTTTGGGCACCTAATGTGAAGGGCTCACTGGAGAAGAGCCCGATGCTGGAAAAGATTGAGGGCAATAGAATAGAATGACAGAGAATGAGGTGGCTGGATGGAGTCCCTGAAGCAGTAGACGTGAGCTTAAATGGACTCCAGAAGATGGTAGAAGACAGGAAGGCCTGGAGGAACGTTGTCCATGGGGTTACGATGGTTCGGACATACAATGGGTTGGCAACTAATAACAACACATTCCATTTCCCCTATCATCTCAATTTACCTATTTGAAATGATAATTTTCAGATTCATGCTCTTTATTTTATACAATCTGAAGTTCTTATCAGACAGTGTAAAAAACATTTGGATGTCTATAGGATGCATACTATCAAAAGGTACTGTATATATTACCTACTCTTCCAGTTCTAAGTGGTTTATAATCTATGAGTTCCAGTTAAAGAATGTAGTTGTTCCAAGTAGTTGAAGTGGGTCAACTTGAAGTGTTCCTATTGTACATTAATTTTCATCCTCAAATCCACAAAATAGTTCAGATTGTGAAGTTCATTGTTTAGTCATTTTCAAGGCATGTAAAGCATATTGTCAGGCTACAGAACTTTTCCCATTCACTCAACTAGAATGAACTTCTGAAAACGTATCCAAATGTATCACAAAGGAATTCTTTATTGAGATGAGACAATTCCTGTAGGAGTTCAAAGCAGCGTCTGAGGTCTCTCAGGCATACAGGGATACATAAGGGAGTTTAGACCCCCTCCCCTTATCTCGATGTGTATTTAGTGAAACAAAAGCCAATATGTTAATTCCTCCCCACCCCTCTTGTTAGAAGGAACTATTCAAGAGATTCCCAAAGTACAATCTCACTGTGGAGTTTTTATGACCTTCTCATCTCCTGGTTGTGCCTCTCAGAGGTGATAGTTCTGGCCATCTGGCTTTTCTCCCTCCATCGTATCATGTGTGGGTTATACAAATTTGATATAAGATTAAATATATTCAGGTTACATCAAAAAGGGATTTCTTTATCAGCCTCCCCCCACTCTTTTCTTCTTCCACTGAAGAAATGACAGATACACGGATCTGACACATATATTAAACCGTATAAAGAAAGGGTCTTCAAACTTGGCAAGTTTAAGACTTGTGGACTTCAACTCCCAGAATTCCTTTACTAACATGACTAGAGGAGGAATTCTGGGAGTTGAAGTCCACAAGTCTTATAGCTGTCAAGTTTGAAGATTCCTGGTATAAAGTCAAAGAACCAGTTGTTTCTTCTTTCCTCTTCCTATGGGTTTCTTCCCTGGTTCATTCTATTCTCTGTTACATATTAGACCAACGCTTCTCAACCTTGGCAAGGGTATCATAAATTATCAGAGAGGCGAACCCCTCGGAGAGCAAAAATTAGCTAAAGATGGCCACATTAGTGGAGTCACCACTTATGGCAGTGTCATTAATCACATGCGACCCAAGGTCCGGACTCAACCTTTCCCGGTTCCACACATGTAAACATCGTAACATTTGAGCGAGCCTGCGATGATTAGGAGACCAATGTCCATGCAGTCCCTGCGGCACAAGCCCAAAATCTGTATCCCAACGCCGGATGGTTTGTAAAGCAGTCCCCAGTTAGAAATGATGACAGAGAGGTGGTGGATCGAGACAAATGAATGCTGGAATAATTGGCTCTACGAGTGGAACGTTAGCTCCAGTGATGAGTCATATCTGTCGGACGGGGTTTCGATGGTCTCCATGTGTGGGGAAACCAGTGTTGGGCATGATCTTGAAGGAGGGCCCTGCCCCGTGACTGGCTAATCTCCTGAGATAGTAGATCTCGGGCAATCTCACTCAATTCATTGGCTCCCATCTTGGCTTCTCTCAGATTTGCAGCTGCCACTTCCAGGAGAGTGGTCATCCAGGTAGCTGCTGGGTTGGAGCCAGACCTGATGTAGAGGCAGATAACGGTGCCAGCGGGTCTGATCCGGAAACAGTAGTAGTCTTGGTGCCCACCTCTGGCGGAGGATGGCAAACAGATGCGGGGTCAGATGGTGGGACCCACTTGATGGTCTGGAGGTGCTTCTTGACAGCTTCCTGTGAACGGCCAGGGAACTGCAGGAGCAGAAGTGTATAAAGTTCTTTGTTAAGCATCCCAGTCTTCCAGAGATGGTCAGAATGCCGACGCAGGGCTTCATCATCCTCCCGGGACCACATCAGGCGCTTAGTAGGAAAAGCGGCTACGTGTTCGATGTTAACTTCGACAGGTTGATAGTGTCATCGATGCGTGCTCAGGCCCTGCTTGGTGGAAAACTGGCGGCCACAGGAGTACTCAGTGAACCGGTTTGGGGACATGTGACACTAGTGCTTCCATCTATAGTGCTGGAGTCCTGAAGTCCGGAGGGACCAGGACCCTTTTTCCTTATACGTTCTGTAACCAGCAGTAAACCCCCTGCTAGGTGGTTGGCCCGACAGGGGGGGTGACCTGGGTCTTAGCTCGGGTACAGGGGGGCATATAACATGCCTGCACCTTCTCCAGCGGTCGCTGCAAGGAAGTGCCCAGGCGGTGTACCCATGAAAGAGAGTCATAGTTACTCCTGCTCCTCCTATGGGTTTCTTCCCTGATTCATTCTGTTCTCTGCTACATATTAGTCCAACGCTTCTCAACCTTGGCAACTTTAAGATGTAAGGAGTTCAACTCCCAGAATTCCCCAGCCAGTATGGGAATCCTGGGAGTTGAAGTCCACACACTTCAAAGTTGCCACAGTTGAGAAAGGCTGAATTAGACCGAAAAAAGGTCAAAGACTCAATGGCTGGTGACACTACACGTTAAATAACAAAGTAGCCAAGACTTACAGTACCCAGAGCCAATGTCAATATATTAAATAAACTATGATTAAGATATGCTTTATTATGATGTGTAACTCATAGCTGGATATGCCCTTATCAGGATCACCAAATGTCCCCAAAGGGTTCAAAGATCAAAGTTCATGTAAGTACGAAGGTTGCGTTCCCAAGCTGCAGCCTTGGCCTCCCTCCGGCGGGCCTCCCGTTTTCCCACTGTTGCTGCTCGTTCTTTTCTGGATTGTCGCTTCACAGGTTCCTCTACAGCGCAACGGTCATTAGGCCTGAAGTGGGTAACCTTGGGTTTGAGATTACTGCAGAAGCCGAGACCCTTTTGATCTCTCTTGAGGACAGTCTTAATCGGGAACTTGCGACCAGCACCACTTGGGCCCAGTCCAGTTTCTTTATCCCAGCCGCCTTTGACCATCAACTGGAAGCCCACGTTATTCTCAGGGATGCAGTACCGGGTGGAGGGCAACGGGTCACGCCGATTGAAAAGGTGGGCAGTGGAACGCTCGTGGAGAGCCACAGTGTCCTCGCTATAGTGGGCCTGGCACACTTCGCAGTATTTTCTCTCAGCCAGTAAACTGCAGAAAGAAGGCAAATGGTTTGAAACAAGGCAAGCCACGTTTATACAAACTGTAACTTGAACCATGCCAAAAGATGGTAATGGGAGATTGGAGCAGGGCTGTAGGGTTTGTTTTTCTTGAAAAATTCTGAAATTCTATCTATGAACAACATTACAGGACCATGGCAATCTTTTTCAAATTGACTTTGCTTAGCCTAGAAGACTCTGGTCTTTATTAATAATATTTATATTACCAACTCATAACATATTTATATGGTCTTTTTAGAGTTGCCAACAGAAAGGGGTGGGGGAGCAGTGAGCAGCTTGCATTCCATAAATGTTTTCATGGCATAGAATGGATTTAATGGCCTTTGCTTTGCTCTACCTGTAGCCATTAGTGCAATAACTAAAAATCAATATTAGGGTAAACTTTTTAAAATTTTGACAATTTTTGACTTGCTTTTGGCCTACCTCAGTGGCCAAAATATTGCATAGCAACACTCAGAAGCAAATGCGCTCAAGAGCATTTCCTCCGTCAGGAAAATTGGATGAACTCAGAAACAGGAGAACTCACCTAGAGGGTTCATTCTTCACCTGAGGCCTTTTGCTCTCCCGAAGGATGCTGACCACCTCTCCGTGTCCAGCTTCTTCAGCCAGATCCATAGCATCCCGGCCTTGTGATTCACAAACTCCCAGCCAAGCTGCCTCATGTCTCAAAAGATAACGCACCGCTTCCTCTCGCCCAGCATAGGCTGCACACATGATGGCTGTCCAATAAAACCCATCTTTATAATTGACATCACACCCTTCCTTCTCCACAAGCCTTTGGAGAGCCTTCATGTTGCCATCTTGAGCGGCTTTCAAGAGCTGATTCCCTTTGCGGGTGTCGGTTTGTTCTGGGCAGCTCAGGGTGCAAGGAGACACCTGCGCTGGCCGACGGAGTACACGAACTACCCTTGGTTTCCTCGGTGATGCACTTTTAGAACTACTTGTAAGTGCCAGGCTCTCATAAAAGTTACGCACTGCTTCACCAGATAAGTTCTCTTCTACCTGGATGGTGGTGCAAGAACTTCTGGTTTTTTTCTGAATGTGTCCATCTCTCCAAAGATCCGATTCTTCCTGGGCACGAGTAAAAGCGATCAGTTGTTCACCATGGTTCATGTTGAAGCAAAATTGTTTTTGGCTGAAAAGCTGTAACCACCACAAACCGCTGAAAGAGAAAAACAAGACATTTACATAAAACACCAATTATTTACCACAGACAAATACGTACTATCCTTACACATTTTGTAGCAGTGCACAATGTGGCATCAAGCACCGAAACATCCTGAAGATTGGGTTATTTATTTCTCTAATTAAAATGTAAGACTCTAGGTATTGTGGTTAGCTGGATTGGGTGAGAATTCAAACACAACATTTCTACCGCATAGGGATTGTTCTAGTCTTTACTGACCAATTTCAACAATTATGCAAGAAAACTAAACATTTAGTTTCTCTGATCCTTTTTTGGGTCTCCAAACAGGTGCCATCCAGAAGAGGGTTCACACACTACTTTAGAGGACTAGACACACATGAAGTAAGTAAATAAAACTCAGAAAACAACCTAGTCTGTTATTTTGCCATCCCTAACTTTGTTTTTATTGACCTGTTTTTTCCTCTCTTAAATCATGGGGGTCAATATTATTATTAATAATAATAATATCAAGATGGGGTCAATAATATTAATAATTTATTTATTTATTGAATGTATATTTTCACCTATTTGCCCATGGCGATTCAAGGCAGCTTACAGAATGTAAAACCATATTTAAAACAAAATAAAACAAAACAACAATAAAAACTAACAAAAAGAATAAAATAAATTAATAAAAGTACAGTAGAACATCATCTGGAAAAAAAATAAAAAATCACACACACCCCAACTATTAGGACTGCAGAAAAAACAATTACTACCAATCTGCCTTCAATTGAGGCCCTGTATACTGCACGAGTCAAAAAGAGGGCTGTGAAAATATTTACAGACCCCTCACATCCTGGACATAAACTGTTTCAACTCCTTCCCTCAAAACGAAGCTATAGGGCACTGCACACAAGAACAACTAGACACAAGGACAGTTTTTTCCCGAAAGCCATCACTCTGCTAAACAAATAATTCCCTCAACACTGTCCAACTATTTACAAAGAGTACACTACTATTACTGTTAATCTTCTCATCACTCCTTATCACCCATCCCCTCCTACTTGTGACTGTAGGACTGTAACTTTGTTGCTTGTATCCTTACAATTTATATCGACTGTTTCCTAGTATGATCAAATTGTTGATTGTACCCTATGACTATCATTAAGTGTTGTACGTTGATTCTTGATTCTTAACCAATGTACCTTTTCTTTATATATACTGAGAATATTTACACCAAGACAAATTCCTTGTGTGTCCAATCACACTTGGACAATAAAGTATCCTATCCTATCCTATCCTACCCTATTCTGCACCATTTTGTTGAAAGATACCCTAAGGTAGGGATGTCAAATCTTGGCCATTTTAAGATCTGTGGACTTCAACTCCCAGAATTCCCCAACCAGCACAGCTGACTGGGGAATTCTGGGAGTTGAAGTCCACAGATCTTAAAATGGCCAAGATTTGACATCCCTGCTCTAGAGCAATGTTTCTCAACCTTAGTATAACTTTAACACATGTGGACCAACTCTCGGAATTCTCCAGACATACCTTAAGTTATCAAAAAGTTAAGAAATTCAGGCTAGAGAAAAAACATAATTGCAACCCCCTCTTCAATAGTAAAAGAACAATGGGTAATATTTTCTACACCATATATCAACCATCGTTACGAAAAGTGGAAGAATCAAACAGATTCCGCATTATTACCCTGGTGAATCTGACAAATTTTATTGGAGGAAAAAAACTTGTCTCTTTAACCCTGAAGTTTACAGCCGCACGTCCCTTTAACTGCGTATCTCTAAGGCTTCTCTTAAGACGTCAAAGCAACACGCGACTCCCGGACGGGATTTTTTCAAACGGAAGTGCCCGTTCGGTTGCCTAGCAACGCGCGGAAACGCTACGTAGGGGCTGCGGAGGCTCAACTATACACGCAAGCTCGACTTATCCTCCAACACTTTTTGAAACGGGGTGGGTGGATTAAAAGCACAGAATAATACAAAGAGTACGAATGTAAAAGGGAGCCTTCCACATTGCAGAAGAAAGGGTTTGAAGTAGCGGAGGTAAGGGATCCTTAGGAGCCCTTGACGTTGTGAGGCATGCGCAGTGGTCATGCATGCTCTCCATGCGCATGCTCACTTTGGCCGACAAAAGGTCCTTTTTCCCGCCTTTTAGCGACAGAGCTCTTTTTGAAGGTTTTCCTTAATTTGCACCTAGGCCCAATACTATGCCTTCTTTTCAAGCTTTCTAAATGGATATTTTAAGAGAGCAATTGGTCTAAAAAGTTGACACCTCTCACCTGTAAGGAACTAGATTTCCAAAAGTTTTAAAGCTTGTTTACTGGCTGCATTATTTCTCAGTTAACAGATTTTATGGAAAAATAAAAGGGAAAACCAGAAAAAGGAATGAATCTGTTAAAGATTCATGAGGATTAAAAATAATGTTTATAGCTTTGGTTTACAAAGGAAGATTCAAGAGCAAAAGCCCAAAAGATAAAGTAACATATTTCTGAAATAAAGCACTGTTCTATATAACAATAATAAAAGACATGTGATCACTGTAACCACAAGCCACACTTGGTTATTAATGTTTTGAATCTTTTTTTTTTTTTAAGTCCTGTCAAAAGCTAAAATCCAGAACTGAGTATTACCATTTTTAATTTCCTGATTTTCAGGACGAGGAGTCCAAGCAACTTTCAATATAAGCGATTTAAATAAAAATACAATACACCATAGATCGCTTGCGTATCTAGAATCCATCTCAGAGGGTAGTTGGTTAAAAAAAGTGTAACTCAAACATTACTTACATGTGATGATTGTACTTTACTGTACGTATTGATGGATATTTTCCTCATTTTCCCATCACACAGGCATGGCTAATTGATACAGAAACCATGACAGCCATTTTGAGAACAACTACAGCAGACAGGATGAGCCGGCGAAGCAGCACCAGCATCCGGGATGGTAACTTATTGGGGAAGGGAGGTCATAACTGAATTCAGGGAAGTGGATTTGCTTCCTTCTTAGGTAGTCTTTGAATTAAAAGTGGGACAACTCTGATTTTTGTTATCCCTCTTAGCTACTGTATTCAGACCCAATAACAGTTTGTGAATTCAATAAAGGAGGATATTTGTAGCTCAGGGTTGAAATGAGGGTTTTTGGTGCTCTCTGAGCTTGCTTGTTTTCTTGCAGACACTTCATTACCCAAGTAGGTAACATCATCAGTGCTAGGAAGGAGTGCAGTTTGTTGTCAGTTTACATTATATTCTAGAATATAAACTGACAGCAAACCGCACTCTTTACTAGCACTGATGATGTTACCCAGTTAAAGATGCTTCTGCAAGAAAGCAAGCACACTCAGGTTTGTGATTTAACAGATAACAGATAATCAGAGTTGGAAGGGACCTTGTAGGTCATCTAATCTAACTCCCACCCACCCAAGTGGGAGACCCTACACCATTTCTGACTGTTGGGAGTCCAATCTCTTCTTGAAAGTCTCAAGAGATGGTGCTCCCACAACTTTTAAGGGCAAGCTGTTCCATTGGTTGATTGTTCTCACTGTCAGAAAGTTTCTCCTTATTTCCAGGTTTAAATCTCTCCTTGTTCAGTTTCCATCCATTATTCCTTGTGTGGCCTTCAGGTGCTTTAGAAAACAGCTTGACCCCTTCTTCTCTGTGGCAGTCCCTCAAATATTGGAAGACTGCTATCATGTCTCCCCTGGTGCTTTGCTTAATTTGCTTAATTTGTACTGTAGGGGAGGGAGTTCTGGATTTAATTCAAGGCCCCATAATTCAAGGATACCATTCAATCATGGTATCCTTTTACGGACCACTTCTGTTTTGGTCTGCATAGATATAATATTGATGCTACAATCATGGTTAAAAAGGAATGTGCAAGGAAACAGAAATAAGCTACAATGGGAGCTAGCACTGCAATATTTGCTTTTGTTTTATAAAATAGCGTTAACCCTTCAAAATCCTGTTTGGAAAACAGCACGCCCTGGCTTGCATCTCTATCACATTATACTTTTTCTGTCACATTTTTGGAACTAGGCAATATGGGCAGTCCTTGACTTATCACCTTTCATTTAGTGATTGTTCAAAGTTACAACGGCACTAAAAATATGACTTATGACCATTTTCACATTTATGAGTACTGGATTATCTCCACGGTCACAATGATCAAAATTCAGACACTTGGCAAATGGTTCATATTTAAGACGGTTGCAGAGTCCCAAGATCCCTTTTGTGACCTTCTGACAAAGTCAATGGGGAAGCCAGATTCACTTAACAACTGTGACAAGAAAGGGTGTAAACTGGGGCAGATCTCACTTAACCATCTCGCTTAGCAACATAAATTTTGGTCTCAATTTGGTCATAAGTTGAGGACTACCTGTACCCTACACTCATTGCTACTTACCGCTTTCACTAATCTTGATATAACATTGAAGTATTATCATGTACCTCCTTTTTTGTTCCTTTGTGTAATATGGTGGGCAGTGGGAGGAATATTCAATTGTATTTGGCTACCAAATACCCCACAAATCCTGCTATAGGCCATCATCATAGTGAGGTAAGGCTGGGAGAGTTGAGTGAAGAATGCCAGGAGCCTAAACCAGAATATAGGATCCCCTCAGGATTACCAGAAGCGTCAAGGGGGTCCCCGCTGACCAGCTAAAGCTGCCAAGGCGCTTATATTCAAGAGAAGTGATATAAGAGGAAAGTCCTGGAGGCAGATGAACAATTTAGTGACAACTAAACTGACCAACAACCAAAATAACATCTCTGTATACGAATGTCAGCAAATGGGGTACGGGTAATCCTTGATTTGCCACCATTCATTTAGTGACCGAAGCTACAACAGCACTGAAAAAAAGTGACTTATCACTGTTTTTTCACACTTATGACCATTGCCGTATCCTCATGGTCACATGATAAAAATTCAGACGCTTGGCAACTGGCTCATATTTATGACCGTTGCAGTATCCCAGGGGGGGTCATGTGATCCCCTTTTGCGACCTTCTGACAAGCAGAGTCAATGGGGGAAGCCAGATTCACTTATAACAACCATGCAACTACCTTAACAGCTGCAGTAATTCACTTAACAACTGTGTCAAGAAATGTCCTAACCGGACAGTGTCTCTTAATGTCTCACTTAGCAACAGAAATTCTGGGCTCAATTGTGATTTTAAGTTGATGACTACCCGAATCCAGATCTGACTCTATTTTTGGTACAAGGGCTCAGTTGTAACACTAAAGACTTGGCCAAGGGCTGACTATGAAACAGGTCACGAACTGCTCATATACAAGGCAACCATTTTCCACGATCCGGAGCGCGCAAGGACCATTTTCAAGAAGAACGTCAGGAATCGCTTGGAGGTCCTGAAGCTCATCGATAGGGAACGAGAGGAACGTGGAATGAAATCAAAGATGTGAAGGAGGAATGTGGAGAGGCTGCCAAAGATCAAGAATTAGGGAAAGGAAGCGAAATGATACCTAGCTAGGTCTTCATTCAGCTTACACTCGTGTAAATCAGCGCGAACAGGGACCGGATCGGACAAATAGAAAAGAAACGATAAAGCCTCTACGCTTCTGGTTGCCCTTCCGCCCTACTATTTGTAAAAGGATTGGAAAAGTACATTGAATTGCACTTTCGAACCGATCGCTTCCATATTCACGAATGATAACCCAGCCCGAAGATCTAAACCACCCCTTCCTACCTTGGGTTAATCCGATTACCATTCCCACTCACCTCCCCCAAGCCAGTTTCGATCAAACGTTCATCTTGTTCTTCTGCAAGTCCGGGGGGCTCATTGAAAGCACAGCGTTATTTGCGCTGCATTTAGTTCGTTGCGCACAGCATATTGAAAGGAAATTTGGACTAACTCCCCACCTCCCCCACCAGCGTCCATTTCCTTCTCCGTTGCACTCTGGGACTGGTAGTTTCCCGGTTCCTCTTCGTCCGTTCTCTCCTTATTCCGAAGTACTGCAATCCCGTGATGCCGTTTCATCGGCGACTGTAGCGCGTGCGCCGTTGAAGCTGACAAGAGGCCTTACTGGTCCAAAGCTTGTTTGCACCCCGCGTCCCTCTCCTTGAGGCAGTCGTGCCTTTTGGGGTGAGTTATTGGGCTATAGATTTTGGGAGGTGTTGGCCAGAAACATAGTGGGGAGGCATGGCCAAGTAATGGCGTTCTCCGGTTAATATTCAGGAAAGAGCGGAGGAGGAGGCGAGGGCAGCAGCGAAAATGTGTGCCGGGCGCTAAAAAAAAAAAAAAAAAAACCGAAAAAAGGAAGGAAGAGAGTCGATTGCATGTTTCTTGAGAAATGATGCGGTAACGAGGAGATATTACTACTCTGAAAAAAGGCATTTTTTTCCAGTGATGTCGGAAGTGGGTTTCTATTTGCAAAGAAGAAACAGCTTATGGGATTCTTGTGTAGCATTGGTTCCCATGCACAAATGCAAGACGGTAGTTTATCGTCCAGCGTAAAGCAAGGGTTGGGGAACATGAGCTGAAAAATTCTATGTCGTGTAGGGAGTTTTTCCACAAAGAATTTATTTGCGAGTGATCGCTGTTAACGCTGAGGATGCTTCTGTTCCTTTCTTTCTCTTAGAGGACGGGAAGATGAGTAGCTCTGAGGAGGTATCTTGGATTTCCTGGTTTTGTGGTTTGCGTGGCAATGAGTTCTTCTGTGAGGTGAGTTGGGAAGCATTGTCCATGGACATATTCAGTGGGGCCTGGAAATTAGCAGTGTCCCTTTTTAAAAAAATTTGATTTGAACATATTGAGAGAGATGATAGAGGGTTTTAAATAAATAGGAGCTGCAGGCAATTTCAGAAATGTGTTAACTTGGGTCTTTAGAAAGTAAAGTACAGACACTTGAGAAGTCAAGATCAATTGATCCTGGTTTCTATTTGTTTTCAGGTGGATGAAGACTACATCCAAGACAAGTTCAATTTAACTGGCCTCAATGAACAAGTTCCCCACTATCGCCAGGCCTTGGATATGATCCTCGATTTAGAACCAGGTGGGAAACAATCTAAATCTGTTTGTATCTTGGATTACTTGACATTATAGAGACTGGGAGGCCCTTGGTGCTCTCTGAACTTGCTTGTTTTCTTGTAGATGGTTCATTATATCTTTAGAGTAACATCAGTGCTAGTAAGGGGTGCTGTTTACTGTCAGTTTATATTCTGGTATTACAGGGACTTTTGAAAACATGATTAGCAGGTTGTAACCTCTTGACCCTGCTATGCCTCCCTGCTTGATGTTGACACATGCTGGCAACATACACTTGACATGTGCATGCAGTAGCCATTACTCAGAAGACATTTTGGTGAAACTAATTAGGGCTCATTGGATATGTCACTGAAAACTCTTCATATGTATGGAGAGTTTCTATCTTAGCCAGGATCAGAAACATGAATTGTCACAGGTTGATCATATGGGAAGCTTTTGCTAACCAAGGTAGAAAATATTGAGATTCATAATCTTCAGCCATCCTTTTTCTTTCCAATTTTTCAAAATAGGTGGTCCTTGATTTACAACCAGAATTGAGACCTAACCTTCCCTTGATAAGGAAGGCACTTAAATGAGTTGAGCTTGTTTTACAATCTTTTTGCCACAGTTAAGTGAATCATTGTAGTTGAGTGAATCAGTGCAGTCATTAAGCAAATCTGGCTTCCCCCATTGACTTTTCTAGTTTGAAGCTGGCTGGGCAGGTTACAAATAGTAATTGCATGACCCCAGAACAGTGCAACTGTCCTAAATACTTGCCAGTCACCTGAATTTTGATCACATGGCCATGGGGATGCTACAAGGGTCATTAAGTGTGAAAACTGGTCATAACTCCCTTTTCCCCCTGTCATTATAATTTTCACTAAACAAATAGTTGTAAGTTGAGTATTACCTGTATAACATTTGGATTTCTATCTTGTTTCACTATCTGTCACCAGAATCACACTCTGAAAACAAAACAGAATGGGTGCAAATTTGGTGTATGGGGGTCTGGGGCAGAAAGCCAATAAAAAGAAATTGAACTTTAAAAGGGGGTTGGATTCAATTGAAGGTTTTGGAAGAAAATATTCCAATTTTGGAAGAGGCAGTTGGTCAGCAGCATGGAATGCTGTTGACTGCTTCCTTCTAGGCCCCCATCTTTTCTTCCTCCCAGTCACATGGCTGACAGCAGATGGTTTATAGCCTGGGTTCTATGTCAAAGCAGACATATAGAGATGCAGCATGTGGAGAAAGCAGAAGACTATGGCAACAACTGGCAAAGGGTTTGGAAAGGATTCCAGGAACCACACTTTGCATTCTTTTTCTTGTTTCATGTCATAAGAATAGAAGCCACAGGTTATACAATATGCTATTACTAACCACCATATCCCTTTGTTAACTGTCTTCATAAATATTAATTCTCTGAGGGCCTGGTAATCTAAAATGAATCCTGATTCAGTCCCCAAAAGCAGGATTTTTAATTTTCCAGTTTTCTATTAAAATTCTGCAGGGCACTCTAAATATAAAATATTGTCTCTTGTTTTCCCCTCTTGTTTTGTGCCTTCAAATAAGTCTTGATTCTTGGCAACTAGAATCTTGGCAATGTTACTGGTATTGGTTTGCCATTGTCTTCTTTCTAGGGCTAAGAGGAAAGGCCTGACCCTAAGTCATCAAACCATTTTTGTGCTTAAGGCAGCATTAGAACTCACACTTTCCTAGTTTCTAGCCTAGTGCCTTTAACTAGTGCAACAGCTCACACTCTCTCTCACTGAACTTAATGTGTATAAAAATAAAGGCTTGCTAAGAATAACAGCAAGAATGTAAAAGGAATAGGATACTACACTTGATCTTAGCCAAAAGGCCGAGAAGTGGGTAGAAGAAATACACACTTAAAAATATGTTGATTTTAAACATCTGAGAAATGACATAGGCACCTAATCATGTTTGAGAAAAAGATAACAGTAATTTATGTTTCTGATCTTAATTTGTTAAAATAAATGATCAAAATATTTTGCCAGTTGTATTACATTGTGAATTACAATTTAGTGTGGCAGGAATAGAGTGGAAGACGACAATATTTAAGAAAATACTGGCTAAGTAAAGACGTAACAGTAGAAGTGAGCTAACAATGTGGAATCAATATCTGATAATGCTTCAGTAGGAAAGTACAACTTTCTGCCTCTTTGTCAATGTCACAGTGCATTGCAGCAGAGCACTTCCCTTTCTCTTGCAGATGAAGAGCTGGAGGATAATCCTAACCAGAGTGACTTGATCGAACAGGCAGCTGAAATGCTCTATGGACTTATTCATGCCCGCTATATCCTCACAAACCGTGGTATTGCCCAGATGGTAATTATCCATGCTATTTAATAAGCGAGTACTCTATACAATTTTTTTTTTATGTTCCTGGACAGAGGTTCCCAATCAGAGATTATAAAACCTAAAAGGGGGTGTAATTTGAACAGATACTGCAGATTCATCTAGATCAGTGGTCCCCAGCCTTTCTGGCTTTTTTGGGGGGGGGGGGTTCTGCATGAGCAGTGGGTGAGTGTGCGTATTTATACATCTCCATTTGCACAAGCAACTGGCAGCCACACCCGCTGTTCGCATTAATGGAGCTTTGCACATACATCCGCAACTTCTGGGCGTTGGGGATCCCTGATCTAGACAATCGAGTTACTTGGTAAGTGCAGGTTTCCTTAAAGATTTTCCTTACAGATTTCTCTGCCCTGAGCCAGCAGATCAGTTCCTTTCCAATTTATGGGAAGATTGTGTTTTCTATATATATTTTTTTCTCCTTCTTTATTCCTAGCTTGAGAAATACCAGCAGGGAGACTTTGGATACTGCCCTCGAGTTTACTGTGAGAATCAGCCTATGCTGCCCATTGGTGAGTATGTTACATTATGGAAGAAATGATTCAGAGCTAATGTAAGGGGTCTATTTTATAGGAGGAGATAAAGAAAAAAAAACTGGGCTACAGAATCAGGGTGATATAGTGGGCAGATTCAATCATAGGATGCTTTCAGTTCAGGCTCTTTTAGAACTAAATTCTTGAATCGTCCATTTTGGAAACCTGCAAACTGTAGATCTGGGACTGTGGATGAAAGTCAGGTCGGTAAGTCTGTTCCAGAAGTCATATCAAGTAACTTCTTTAAACTAATTTAATTTCTGAATTCTATCTTACTGTGCTTTGTCTTCACTGCTAGGTTTATCCGATATCCCAGGGGAAGCTATGGTCAAACTGTACTGCCCCAAATGTATGGATGTCTATACTCCCAAATCTTCCCGCCATCATCACACAGATGGTGCCTATTTTGGAACTGGTTTTCCTCACATGTTATTCATGGTGCATCCTGAATATCGGCCGAAGCGACCAGCCAATCAGTTTGTGCCCAGGTAAGGCGCCATCAAATGTATAACAGAATATACTGAATAAAAGTTTGGTCATCTCTAATTTTTTTGCTGTCACTCAGAAAGAGAAAGAAAGGATGTAGTTGTTCCCTAAAATGAATGAAGGATTGTTTCATTATTATTAAGGATAGAGTTGCACGACTAGAGACTTCTCAGACAAAAGTGGACATCTCTGTGCTGCGAAAAAGAAGACTTGAAAACAGTCCTGGTTTTTGTGTTGTCAGTGTTTATTTGCAACTGATCTCGCAGGTCATAAATTTCAATACTAGCCAGAGCCTGGGATGTTATTGTTATGGTTGTTTTCAGAGACTCAGTGAATGTTGAAACATAGCAATGTTAAGCAATACTGTTTGGCTCTCTATAAGGGCTGGCTGTGCTGCTTCCCAATATTGTGCTCAAGAAGAGGTGCACTTCAAATCATTGTTAAATGTGATGAAACAATGGAATGGAAATAAAGGGTTAATAGGACACTTCCCTATAAAGAAGGAAGGCAGGCAGGCCAGAAGCTAAGAGAATAGACAGACACGGAGTGTAAGAGAATCAGAAGCAGTTGACAATGTGATCAGAGTTAAAAGAGAGGAAGGAAATGGAAAGAAGCGGTATATGAGCCATGCTGGCGCACTGGTTAGAGTGCAGTACTACAGACTATTTCTGCTAACTGCTGGCTGCCTGCAATTTGGCAGTTCAAATCTCACCAGGCTCAAGGTTGATTCAGCTTTTCATCCTTCCAAAGTTGGTAAAATGAGGACCCCAAATTGTTGAGGACAATGTGCTGACTCTGTAAACCACTTAGAGAGGGCTGTAAAGCACTGTGAAGCGGTATATATGTCTAAGTGCTATTGCTCTATATAAAACAAAGGCAGATACTGGTAGTTCTTACGACTATTTAAATAATTCTTCTGTAAAAAATAATGGAAATACATTCTGCAACATACAGAAGAGTATGCTTTTGTTAGATCAAATTTTAACTGCTTATAAACAACTGATTCTCTGAATAAATGAGGTATGATAACATAACAATTCTCTTCCTACTCCAAATCCAGTTTGAGATACTATGCTGCCAGAAAAAGAGAAGAATCTCAGTAGAGAAACTTATCATTATGGGGCAAGATTTTAAAGTTTTTTTTTTCCTGAAAACCACTATATCTGAGAAATTATTTCCTTCTAAACCACACTCTGTGGAAACCTGATTTTACTGTGCTTTTCGTATCCTTAGGAAGTTAAGTAAACTTAAGCCAAAGTTACTTTGCTGACACCTGTAAGTATAGCATTGGGCCGATTCCCACTTCTATCAAATTTTAAAGTTTTTTTTTAAAATCTAAGATTCCTTATCTGAACCAAGTAGTCATACTGAAATCTGACAAAGTCTTTGTACACTTTAACTGAAAATATAGGTTGGTTATTTGGGCAAGACTTTTACATCTTCCTTCCCATCCCACTTTAACTCTTTTATTTCTTTCAGACTTTATGGATTCAAGATCCATCCTATGGCTTATCAGCTGCAGCTTCAGGCCGCCAGCAATTTCAAGAGCCCGGTCAAAACTATCCGTTGATTTTCTGTATCCAGGTGCCCAGGATCCTTCCCTGAAAACTTCCTTTACTCCATTCAGGGCTGCTTATACTTTGATTTTTGGTGAAGTCCCCTATGGACTGTTTGTCACTTTTGGCCTGGTTTTTAGTCTCATTTCTGGTGCGTGGTTAAAATGAATAATAAAACGATTTCTGTTAATTCCCAGAAACAAAGACTGTGACAGATACATTCAGTAGCCCACTTGAATGTCATAATTTTGTGGGGGCTTTTTTTTTCTTTTTTAAAAATAAAAAAAAATAAAAATCTAAAAGGTGAGAATCAAGGGTCCTTTTTTGTCCAAGAGAAAGGACTAAATTTTGGCAAGGTATGCTATAGAATAAAGCAAAGAATTAAACAGAAAAAATACATATGATTATACCAGAAAAACAAACCCAAAGCACTGAATTAATTTTGGTAGAGTCCGAGATTCTAAATTGTAAATATAAGCTACCACTCGTGCATTTTTACTTCACAGTAATTGTCCACTTGAGTATGTTTATAAGGTGTGAAGGAAGATGAATCATTTGCATAAGTAGAGTTTTAAATAAATAATTTTGATTGAGTTACAGTCATATTCCAATAACTATTGTAATCATTCATCAGCAGAAAGGAATGCAGTGGCTCATGCGGTTAGGATGCTGGGTTGGAGGTTGGCAAGCCTACATTTGAGACCTGAGTGCTGCTGTGCGGGCAGGGTGAGCCCTTGTCATCTGCTCCAGCTCCTTGACAGGGACGTGAAGGGAGCAACAACCCCCCCCCCCAATCCTTTCAACCCAGAAGCACCTTAAGGACCAGAAGGACCAGAAGAAAGAGTTATATAATATTAGCTTGGAAGGAAAAGATCGAAGTGACAAGAAGTTCTGTGTCCTGGACACTGTGTGAATTGCCATGAGGGAAAGGAGAATTAGAAATATTTAGTGAGAGAGTATTTAGCACAGAACATCATCATTTATATGCCCGGATCTATTTGATTTATGAGCTGTTTGATATATTAAAGTTGGATTTTCTGTCAAATTATTAAGTTTAATTATATATACCTCTAAGCCTACTGTTCCTCACTAACTTATCCGAGCGAGCACTAGGCTTTAGATTAGCTCGTCATACTTTTGTACAATAGGAAATTCACTGGCCTACAGTGTTTTTGCTTTATCCATGTTCTGCAACGGTGCTGTTGCTATCACAGCGCCTATTGTTGCTGACTACGCTTTGCCTAATTCATGGTGACTGGGTGGCTTAGAGAAGTAAAACCTCAAATATAAAAAACAACAAACTCCCATCTTTCCAGTGACATTTTTTTTTGTTATGTTTGCAGAAGGTAGCTATGTGCTTTAGCCAGGTGACTTCAACTGGGTGCTAACCCATTAGATCTTTTCTTCTCCCCTCCAAATCCATAGAACTGTTGCTTTTGGTAATTGCTCTCCCTTTTCTCTTCCCTAGCTTCTCTCATGTTTTCCCAAAGTGAGGGATTTTGCCATGTAGGGTGATTTCAGATTATCTTAATTCCTGCAAACCAGGTTTATTCAAGGAAGAGGCCATTCTCCACCTCGGGATTGCTGAAAAGAAGAAACAGCTGGAATTTAGAGAAATGAAGGGTGCAGCAATGCTTCAAATAAACAAGGATGGTATAGACTAGGATCTCTTCCTCTCTATAGCCAGCAATATGCTTGCCGGTTTTTATACCGCCTGGGCAAAAAGGAATCTGTAGGGAATCACTTCCAAAATTGTTCATGCCCATGTAATTAAAATCCCATTTAGTCTGTCTCAGTGATTCAGCGGATAAATATGAATGCATTATTTATAGTTTAAATCTGGAAATCGGGATTTAAAGCTGTGTTGCTTGCCTTGTGACGGCATTAATATTTTGAGAATTTACAAAGCAGAAGTTTTTTTTAAAAGAAACATTGGCTGCTTTCCTTTTTGCCTTTTTTTTCTTATCCGCTAAACATTTAGTTGAAGCTGAGCTGTCAATATTTCTGGCTATCATACTCTCCTGCAATACCTATGCTTGCAATTCTGGCTGCAGTTTGCAATGCTTTCATTTAATAGGAATAGTTAACATTTCCACCTGAGATCTGCGTAAAACCTGCACAAAACAAAACAAAACCCGCACCCCCTCCCCTCAAGAGGTTCTCCTTGCGCCCCTAGAATTGCAAAGCTAGTCTTGCCCCCAACGCAGCCAATCCGGAACAGGCCACTCATTGTCCACAAATCATAATCGTAGCATGGCGAAGACCATGGATTAATCGCGCTCCTAAAGGCTGCTGGGAACTGTAGTCACGCGGCCCTTCTTTTTTATGTCCCCCCCCCCATCATTAAAAAAAAAATAAAATTCCAGAGGAATTCTGGGAGTTGTAGTCCAAAAGGACTTTTCTCTGCATATCTTCAAAAAAGTATATTTCTGTCCAAGCCGCGAATAGACCGTGGAAATTGCAAACATTTTTTTATTATTATTTCTATTTGTTTAAATGTCTATTTAACACACGCGCAATGCACCCGCCCTCTCACGGCTCCGTTGATTGTGAACGCTCATCATCCCCATCTGGATCACTCCCATCTCCACCTCCTTAATTGGTGCACTTAATTGGTGCTCTCCTGTGATTGGCTGGTAGTAAAAAAGTACCTGCAGCTGAAAAGCTATTTCAAGATTGCGGGGAAAGAGCCCGGGACAAATTCAGGGATTTGTTTCACAGGTTGGTGCTGCTGCGACTTCTCCGAGAAATCGAAAAACGATGGAACCGGTAAGTAAAAAAGGCTGCATTTCTCGCCCCGAATACCGAAGTGCTGATGTTGCGCAGCCGGGAAGGGAAGAGATGAGTGTAATATGATTGTGCTGTTTAGGACGTGCTTTTTCTTGAGGCTCGGCAACTTGAAAACGGGTGGACTCCCAACTCCTAGCATCTCCTAGGCAAGCATGGGATATGGAGTCCACCCGTCTTCGAGTTTGTGAAGTTGGGGGGGAAAATGGTTTAGAAGTTTGGTGTAAAACAAGTTTAGCGTTTTGTCAGAAGTGCAAAAGTTATACTGGAGCTTAAAATACACTAAAGAGGACATTAAAGGAATTGGTCCAATCTTGGTCAGATTTCAATCAGAACAGAGCTGGAAAGGACCTTGGAGGTCTTATAGACCAACCCTCTACTCAAACAGGAGACCCTACATCATTTCAGATAGGTGGCTGCCCAGTCCCTTCTTAAAAACCTCCAATGATGGAGCCCCTACAACTTTTGAAGGCAAAGCTGTTCCACTGGTTAATTGTTCTCACTATTGGGAGGTTTCTCCTTAGTTCTAGGTTGCTTTTCTCCTTGATTAGTTTCCACCCATTGTTTCTTGTCTGGCCTCCTGGTGCTTTGTAAAATTAGTTGACCCCCTCTTCTTTGTGGCAGCCCCTCAAATACTGGAAGAGTGCTATCATGTCACCCCTAGTCTGTCTTTTCGCTAGACTAGCCCCCTGCAATCATTCTTCATATTTTTAGTTTCCAGGCCCTTAATCATCTTAGTTGCTCTTCTTTGCACTTTTCCCAAAGTCTCAACAAGTTTTTGGTAATGTGACCAAAACTGGATGCAGTACTGCATGTGTGCCTTACTAAGACTTTATGCAAAAAATTATGCATGATTATTGTAATGTCCTACCTGTCAATGAATACTTCAGCTTCAACCATAGCAGCACACAATAGAAACAAACTCAAAGTTAACCGCACCAAACTTGATTGCAGGAAATACAACTTCAGCAACAGAGTGATCAATGTCTGGAATACTCTACCTGACTCTGTGGTTTCTTCCCCAAACCCCAAAAACTTTAACCTTAGACTGTCTACTATTGACCTCACCCCTTTCCTAAGAGGTCTGTAGGGGGCGTGCATAAGCGCACCAATGTGCCTACCATCCCTGTCCTATTGTTTCTTTTATTTTTCTTATATGTATCCATTTCATGTATTCATAACTACGTTTATACTTAAACCTATTATCTTGTAAGTAATTGACAAAATAAAAGCCGGAAACATTTTTGGGTGGGAAAAAACTTTGCGTTTTCCAAGTTGGAGAAAGGTATGCTAAGGTATAGCTTCCTTCCTCTTCCACAGCCCTAGTGGGAGTCTATAATGCAGCATTTCTCAGTTTTGGCAAGTTTAAAATGGGTGGACTTTGACTCTCAGAATTCTGGGAATTGAAGTTCACACATCTTAAACTAACCATGATTGAGAAACACGGCTATAGTGTATGAAAAACTGAGGGTAATTAACCCAGCCTGTTGGGTTGCTTTTCCACATTTTGATCCAAACCATTTTTAGAGTGTTGTGAACTGAATAGTATCCTTATGTGTGTAATAGTAATGAACAAAGAGACATTTTCCACTGCTTTGGATCCCTCCTTAGCAAAACTTGGCTTCTCACTGTGAGAAAATATTGTCTTTCTCTGCAGTGTGAACAAACGGTGCTACATACCTTTGCATAAGTGCTTTGTACTTTCTGAGCTAAGTTATCTGAAATTACTCCAATTACTTGATCTCCTGGGTTTCAATACAGCCGCAAGTCTCATTGAATTGCAAGCTCGTTTTTCTTCTTTTCCTTACATAAAATGTTTATGGAAATATGTACTATACTGTATGTACTGAGGTTCACGTACACTAGTTGTTTTCTACCTAGCTAGGATAATTTTATTCATAAGCAGTTAAGTTTATGGGAACTTAGCCTAAACAAAAAAAGCTTCACGCATTATGCTAAAGTTTAACCGGGTTTGCTTAGCTTTGGCTTTGCATGTGTAACCCAAACATTTTTAGGTTTCAAAATACAAAATGGAATGGAATGTGAGAAAGACCTTGAAATGCAGAATGAAGACATGCCTAGGGAATGGTGAGATAAGAGCGGGCATATCCTGTAGGTCCGTAATGGATAGAGAAAGAGGCGGGGGTGGTGGCCCTCCTTAATTTCTCACGCCGCAAAGGAGAGGAAAAAAAAATCCTATTTTCAGACTTGCAAGATTCTGTTACTATAGCTTTACAACAAAGTAGAATTAGCTGTCTAGTCATCATGTCTCCTCTCTGTTCTGCTGGGGAAAGCTAACAAAAACAGGTCAGCAGGATGTACAAATCCAGTTGATTGTGGTTTGTTTATTCATGAAACCATGTTGAAATCACAGTGTGATGTGAGAATTTGGCTACGGTCTATAGGAAGAGATGGAAAATTTGTGGAAACTCTGAAATGGGTGGAAAAACAATCTTGGGTTTCTGGGGAAACACTTCCAGAATTTGAAATGTGTATTTTTT